ATCTGGCGGGACCCACCAACATAGACCCCGGACCATGTGCCGCTGACGTGCCGAGCAACTCGGGCATAATGTTGCTGGCAGCCGAATCGGTCGCAACATATACTGTCGTCACGTGGACGCTGAACTCATTCCGTGCACGCGCCCTCTCTCCCCAGTTTCTGCATCATAATAACTTATCATCTACGTACTCAGGCGATTTCCGCATTCTCATCTCGCTACGGTATGTCTAGCGTCTTCTCAACCACCTTAGAGAAGCGTGTTTTGACATTAGGCAGGTGCACGTACGTCAGGGGTCCTCTATTGCTGAGGGTAAGTCCCCATTCGGCCCTTTCAGCACGTTTGCAGCTCTTGAGATCAGCCAGACATTTGATATTTGCTAGGCCCCACAGGATGTCATGTCACGCAGGAGATAATGAATACGATGCGACGATTAAGGCGCCGATCTTGCGTAAGGGGATTCACCAAGTTTCATGCCCTCGCATACTGGACAGCCGAGCGCATCCGGGGACGTACCCAATCATCCCATTGGCACGTCCCCTGTCGTGTCGGGAGCAGCGGATCTGTTCCGGTACGTACCCAACGTGTTGCGCACTCCGGATAGACGGTCGTACCCGCAGATCTTCCCCACATATTCCGGGAAGAGCTGAGCCCATGTGGGGACGTACCCCAATGTATTACGGACCACCGGGCGCGGAGGGGTACGTCCCCAATGGCGGCAAGGACCGGCGGACACGCTCTGGAACACATGCGACGCGCCACATACGCTGGACAGCCGGCCGTGGATGGGTACGTACCCAATGTGCCCAAGACGAGGGGCGCGCGCTGACGGCCACCAGGCACCCCACTTACCCCGGACAACGGGTAGTATTGCAGCACGTCGCCGCATACATCAGGAAGAGCCTGGCGCAGGTGGGACACACTCAGATGTCTCAAGGACACTCGGTCGTGAAGAGGTACATCCCTGGTCACGCCCAGGGCGTTTGGTTTGCGCTAACAGCTACCGGACGTATCAGGTCCCTCGGGCAGTCGTTCGCGCTGCGGTACGTCCCCGCACATATCAAGAAGAGTAGGGCATTCGGGGACGTACCCAAATGTTCTATCGGGCCGTCGATCGTGGAGGGGCGCATCCTCAATGGTGTCAAAGGTTGGCGGACATGCTCTGGCACATACCCAACGTGCCACGCACCATGGACAGCCGGTTGCGGAGCGGTACGTCCCCACTGGGTGTCCAGTACGTTGGGCGTGCACTGGCGGTTACCGGACGTGTCACGTACCTTGTACAGCCGCGCACCACGGTACGTCCCCACATGTTTCAGGAAGAGCTTGGTGCATGTGGGGACGTACCCAAACGTCCTACGGTCCATCGGCCAGCAGGTACACCCCCGATCATGCCCAGGGTGTTGTGTGTGCACTGACAATTATAGACATGTCACATCCCTTGACAGCCGGTCCCGCACTTATCAGGAAGAGTCAGGCACATGCGGGACGTACCCAAGCATCCTTCGGACCGTAGATCGCGAAGAGGTGACTCCCCAATCATGTCCTTGAAGGATGGCGAACATTGTCTAGCACATATGCGATGCGTCACATACCCTGGTAAGCCGGTCGCGGAGCCCAATTGTGCCTACAACATCGGGCATGCGCTGACGATCAAAAAGCACGTCTCGTACCATGTTCTGGTCCCCGCGCATATCACGGGGAGAGTTGGGTGCACGCGGGGATGTACCCAAATGTCTCATGGACCGACGGTCGGTAGCCGGGTGGGTACGTCCCCACGTATATCAGGAAGAGTCCGGTGCATGTGGGGGCGTACCCTAACGTCCTACGGACCCTGCACAGCGGTGTGCGCCGTGGCACGTCCCCACGTATATCAGGAAGAGTCCGGTGCATGTGGGGGCGTACCCTAACGTCCTACGGACCCTGCACAGCGGTGTGCGCCGTGACACGTCCCCACGTATACCAGGAAGAGTCCGGCGCATTGCATGTGCTAAGGTGAGGTCGTGCCATGTACTGGGCTGAGTATGCAATAAGACGTATAACAGAACGAATTGCTATCTCGTATCCAACACGACGAGGTCAATGATGACTCAATACTTGTATTAACCAATCTATGTAATGCAATACTGACACAATCGTTTTCTATCTTATTGGTGCATGTAAGTCGTGTATTGCATACCGTCGGTTTGGGATAGATCACCGTCCCGTTCCGAAGTCTTTTGGTCAACCCTTTGCCGTTTTATC